GCCCGCACTTGGATGTTCTCTATCTTCCTCCGTTGACTGGACGTTAAGCCTGGTGCCACAGGGGTGTTGCATACTCCAGGACCGGCCGTACGAAACTCGTGTAAACAGTAACCAAGTCGTGTGTTGGTAGGTGAAACTGCCTCAGCCTACATAGGAGATACAGCCTTTGGTTCCCCTTTTTACACATTTCCAGGACGTGCATGTCCCACTTCAGATCTGACTGAAAGGTTACTCCTAAGCACTTGGCGATACTGACAACTTCAAGTTCATGGCCGCCAATGGTGAGAACAGGAGGAGGAGGAGGAATCCGGACAAAGCAGACTTGCATTGCCTTACACTTTCCCGGGTTCAGTTTCATTCTGTTGGTTTCTGTCCACGTAGAGAGGTTGTCAAGATCGCCCTGTAGTGTAGGTGGATGTGCAGCAAGTCTTGTTTCGATCAGGTTCAGATCATCCACAAATGCCCACGACTTAGCGGTCAGGTTGTCGGTGATGCTATTGACGTGAGCTATAAAGACAATAGGGCCGAGTTTCGTTCCCTGTGCCAGGCCACAGGTAAGGTGTTTCACTTGCGAGAGAGTTCCCTGGTACCTGGTTTTCTGACTCCGGTCAGTGTGAAAGCTGGCAATCCATGGAACAAGTTCCGGGCGGACTCCAAGCTCCAGGAGGTGACGTATGGCTGTGGTATGATCTACAAGATCAAAAGCCTTACTAAAGTCCGTCAGTACCCACGTGACGGACATGACACCGTATACACCTCAGGGCGGGTCATTAACCCTATAATAATATCCTCTAGACTTCATCCCTTTTGGGAGACAAATTAAGACACCGTGAGAGACTTTCCATCTGCATCTGTACTAATGTGCATGTTTCCAGGACTTAAAAGTTAAACTCTGATGTTTGAATAGCAGCTTGTATAGTAAGTTCTTTGTGCAGAGAGAAAAAGTTGACCTTACAATCTAGCAAAATACTGTGAATCTCACGATAGATTGTTGGCACTGTGCAGTGCAGTCACCTAACCAAAAGCATGCCTGAAAACTATGGATTCTGGAGTAGAATAAGGTTCTAATGTTACAGTAACAAATTACAGGTACATGGATACGGAAATTCTGACATTCTTGTTTCAGTGTTGATGGATCAAAGACATCCTACAACATCATAGAACTTCTGCCTGAAACTGATTACATCATAAAGATGGCAGCTGTTGGTGAGCATGGCCAAAGCGCAGAAGTCACTTGCACAAAACAAACAGGTATGGCAGCCGCCATGCAGACTTTAGAAATACAGAAATTTCAAGTTACTACAGAATTTTGATTATTAGTATAATTACACAATATATATACACAGTCGCACACTCACAACAAACACATGCATACTTAGTCTAACTCACTGTCACAAACACATAATTAATAAATATATATATATACACTCACATGCATGCACACACACAACACACAGTCACACACACCCAAACACACACATTAACACAGTCACTTACATGTAGATGCACACACAAACACATGCACACTTACTCATTCTCACTCATTCTCACTCACTAACTCACTCACTCACTCTTGCTCATTCTCACTCATTCTCACTCATTCTCACTCACTAACTCACTCACTCACTCTTGCTCATTCTCACTCATTCTCACTCATTCTCACTCACTCACTCTTACTCATTCTCACTCACTCACTCTCACTTGCTCACTCACTCACTCTTACTCATTCTCTCACTCACTCTCACTTACTCACTCACTCACTCACTCACTCACTCACTCACTCACTCATGTCCATTACTGATTCAATTGTGAATGACTGACATATCCTGTTTCCGTACAAAGGGCCGTTACCTGTCAATCACCCCATGACATCAACCCGTGCCACTACTGAGGATGACACAAGTGGTACATGGAGAGACACCACTGTAACTTCCACATCTTTGGAGTCTACCACCAAATGGACAACAGGTAATCATCCTTCACTAGATAGCTTCAAACAACTCTTGCAGTAAGATGTGTGAAGGTTAAGGTGTACATGTTAATCTTCAAGGCCTTTCGATGGCTGTAATACAGCATCAAATTTAGCAACTTGAAGACAGTATCTAATACAACTACATGTATGTCAGGCAGTATCCAATACCCAATAGGGCGGTGAATTGGATACTGACATATTGGATACTGTTTTGCCAATTTGAGAACTGCATTTAATTTACTATTGCAGCCACTATAAGATCTCCTTGGAGATTAGTTATTTGTGACAGGTCATTCAGTGTCACAGTCACACTGTCATACATGTATAATCACGCAGCTGTTGGCATGCAGTACGTTTGCTAAGCTGGTTTGTAATACAGGAAAGGGCAGTTATAATGTTACTGGCTATTATACAATGTAGGTATCATATACATGTAGCTACAGATACAATGCATTTGTCTGTCACCGTTACATACATATACATCAAAGCTATAACGTTACATACGTAACACTCACACACACATTTATCAAAATTCAATTTTCATTTGTCATAGCAACCTCCGCTGAAACAACAGGGAAGCAAACAACAGACAAGGAAGTCAGAACAACAGACCGACAAACCACTACAGTCTACAGTACTAGCAAGGAGGAAAGGCCCCTAGGTGATGTACAAGTTAACATTATTGACTGCATAATACATGTAGGTATAGCTGCTGTAGATTGTATCTGAGCTAGACAAGAGGATCCTTTATATCTGAATTTATCATTATGATTATCTGATATATCATTCTTGCATTCACTAACTCTTGTGTGAATAAGTCAATGGTAAGAAATTATTTATTTATTTGGCTGTAAAAATGTCACAAATTGTACAGCCAGGGCAGCCCAACTAGCCAGGCGGCTATTATTAAGGGCTTGCCCTGCTGACAAGACAAACATTTACACATACATTTACAACAATACAATACATCAACATGGAGAGGTCAGGATCACACACCTTAGGCTTTATAGGGGTCGCCTAGAGAGTCCCATAGCTTCCTTTTAAAGGAGGCAATAGTCACTGTGGTGGCAGTGCGAGCGTCAGTGGAGAGAGTGTTCCCGAGTAACGTTGCTCGGTGAAAGAATGTTCTCTGGCCTCTGGTGGTTTTGGTAAGTTCAACAGTCAGGTGGTTGCTGTTCCTGAGGGGATAGCGGGACTCAGTAGCAGATGCACGGGTTCTGGGTATCAGGGTTTGGAGGTGCGGCGGACAGTAGCCATTAAGGAGCTTGTACAGGGTGGTGACTGTATGGAATCTTCGTCTGAACTGAAGTGATGGGAGGGACAGTTGGGTGTACAAGGTTTGGTAGGAGGGATAAGGGAGTCCATGTTGTCCACTGATCAGTCTGACGGTTTGGTATTGTACAGACTCCAGTTTCCGTTCGTCACTCTTGGTGCCAGTCCCGCCCAGACGATGCTGGCATACTCAAGGCCAGGTCGTGTAATGGTCTTATATAGCCTGAGTAGGATGTCACTTGGCACCTTCTTTCTTAGTGCACACAGATTAGGCCAGCAGATCGTCTTGACTAATGGTGGAGATTATATCAATATGCTTGGACCAGGAGAGTGTGTTCATTAAGGTGACACCTAGATGTTTGTAACTAGCAACAACTTCCAGGGTAGTTCCACCCAGAGAGACTGGTACATGGGGCCTTGGGATGTTGCAAAAGTGTTACATTAATATTGGACCCATCTCTTAGTAAGGAGAGTATTGTTATTAATAGTATTTACCTAATTAACAGATTGTTCACAACATAAGGACTGATCATTATAATAAACTTGACTTTCAGACAAGCTGACATACATCACATCCCCGGCCCAAACAACTGAAAGTTGTGATGAAAAGGTACAAATTTCTTTCCAGCATTGAACTTGATTGTATCTTATCTTGACTTATGTTTTATGATCATAATAACAACAATTGTGCAAACGCATAGTTTACAAGAATGTGTGGCAAGTATGGGATAGGTATGTCAGTCAAACCACTTTCAGTGGTAGCCCGTAAGCATCTGTCTTGCATGGCCTTCTCCATGCCATCTTCTTCCTCCTCCAACACCTGTAGCCTTATCACTGTGACATTATTTTAACCGAAAAAGCCTCATCAGTAACAATGTGCTAGCATGTCTCACCCTCGGAAGACAGGGAACAACAGACGCTAAACTGAATAGTGAGAGTGAGCGAAAGTGAGTGAGTGAGTGAGTTAGTAGATGAAACAGGCATGCAAATAATTATCTAATATTTAATTATATTAAATAATAGTATATAATATAATGTAACATCTCTGCCAGCTCCAGCACATTCTACAAGGGATGTACGAGGAACAGCTGGAATCAGCCAAACCAGAGGAGATCCTGTCTGCGATGAACAGCATTAATGACGTCCTCACAGCCAGTGTCTGTGCTGAGTCGCCCAATTTGTCACTATCAGCACTGGTACACTACTTCACTACACTCTTGACAAGTGTTGTTATCTACAAACTTTTTTATTATTACTAGTAATGTAACGTCAAGCCACGGGATATAGGCAAGTGGTGGGCTGCCATCAAGCTGCGGTATTGTAGTGCAAGCACGGCTAACAGTCTAAATTCAGGGACAACAGACATTAAACCTGATTGATTGATTGATTGATTGATTGATTGATTGATTGATTGATTGATTGATTGATTGATTGATTGATTGATTGATTGATTGATTGATTGATTGATTGATCGATTGATTGAGTGAGTGAAAGCGAGTGAGTGAAAGCGAGTGAGTGAGTGAGCTAGTGAGAGTAAGTGGGAGTGAGTGAGAGAGAGGGATGCATATAATAGTCACATGACATGTGGGGCCAGTGTCATTGTCAGTGATTCATTTAGAATAAGCAGGTCTTGAATATGCTAAAATTTCTGCATTTTGACACTTCATTTTCGTATATAAGTTATAAAAGAAGACACAGTGATAAGAGAAGAAATGTTACATCTTTCCTCTCTTCAGGAAGATGCTGCAGTCCTGATAGACAAACTGGCTAGTGCTTCAAGAGGAGCACAGGGTGCATCAGTAACAGTCATGGTTGATATAGCCAATGGTAAAAACTGCTAATATTGTGTATTTGATGTAAATTCTTGCATTTTGTGTGTATTGGTGTTACCCAGCACCTTGTAAGAAAGGTCCATGAATTATTGCACTCTTTTTTTTAGAATCAATAGCTTCTTAACCCTTGTCCTGTGGAGCACAACGATTATTGTTGTTCTGCATATACAGTACCATCTATATAGAACTCTGTATACTATTAGGGGGTATTTCTCGTGCAACGCATCACACCACAGCAAAACACAACGAATGCAGAACTATGCCACTGCAGAAAAAAAAATTGAGGGTCTATGATCTAATTAAGACATGAAATTATTAAAAAATGTTGTGCCAGGAATGCCAGCAGGACAAGGGTTTAAGTGTTTTGCAGTATCATACATTACTGATCTCTGTAAGACTGAAAGAAAAGATACATGTACATGTATAGTGTTATGTTTAGGAGTGATATTATGACTTGCTGCTTTGTGAGGTTTACAAATAATGGATGTGATGCTCAATCCACAACAAAAATTTACAGTGAGCTGATGTTGGTCTATAGTGCTTCTCAGATTTATACATTTCATGTTAATTTTGCTACCTATTAACCAAGAACAGCTAATAAATTAATATATAAATGTGTATTTGATTTAGATTCTTGCATTTTGAGGATGGAGCCCCAGCACCATATAAGAAATGTCAATGAATTAAGACTCAATAGATAGCAAGTGTTTTATATATACTGAATGATCTCTGTAAGACTGTCTGTAAGAAAAAAAAATAGATTTGTATCTTGTTAATACCAACCAGTTTGGACATATCTTTAAAGATCGTCTAGTACAAACACGTTTCTTTCTGGCTGGAGACAAGAAATTAAAAGTCTTACCAAACTCAATACCTACTGCAAAATTAAAACCCAAGTCTGTTTGGAAAACTATCTTTTATCAATTCAAAACAAATCATTTAGAAACAGCATATATAGTATGTATATTTTCCCATACGTTGTACCCGCTACATCTGTTGCACAATAAAGTTCTTCTTCTGTATATATTTGGATGTGATATTCAACCCTCCACAAAAATCAGAGCTAATACTCTTCACTATTATGTAATAGCACTTCTCAGATTAATTTTTATATAATTTTTAATGTTAATTTTGTTCCCAATCATCTACATTTAGCCCAGACACAGGCAGCTACAGCAGTTATCAACATGCTACCAGAACAACAGCCACCGATTGAGACCACCAGTAGCTCAAACATCTTTGAAAGTGACTTGATTGACGTGAACTCTGCTGACCTTTCACCAAAGCAGCAGCTGAAGTTGCTGAAAGACAAGCAGAAGGAGAAAGAAGACATGGTACGGACAATCATCTACAGTCTTTTTATGAATATCAAATCAGTTGCTGGTGAAATGACAATTAAGCCTTGGTCACAACCCGCCGTACGTGCTTCTGCGTGCTGTCTACGTGCAAAAACGTGGGCAAACGTAGGGCATTTGTGCGTGGTGAGTACCACCTCCGTACGGAATCCTATGGATTTAAGAGCGCGCAGACACGCCGTAGAACTTTTAGTGCATGTAAAACTTTTTTTACGTGCGGTCTACGGATTCACCACCCGTACATGAGAGTACGGCCTCCTTATGGTAAAGTTGCAATCGCACAGAGATCGTACGTTGTACTGTAAGCACTTACAACTCACTTACCACTTGCGCAACGTACGATGCACGCAACCGTTTTGGCCAGGCGTGGCGTGCAGACCCCACTCTTACACCTTGCGCAACCGTGCGAGTGACGTGCGTCGACGCCACTCCTTCCCCACGTTTGCAGAAAAAACGTAGCAGACGTAGCCTCCCAAAAACGTACTAACAAAAAGCATGTACGGCGGGTTGTGACCAATGCTTTACTGTTAGTTGTTACTGTAGTATTCATAGCCTTGTTAATCTCCATTGCTAACCTTATGTATGTATCAATCTGTATAGTATATAACCACCCTCCCACATAACACACCAGCTTTGCAGGCATGCGGCATGGCAGCAGCTGGCTACATGACACTGAACGACTTAAAAGTTGTTACACCTAACTTTTGAACAATCATCTAACTCTAAACACTGTTTAAAGCTTCAATCATGTATCTAATGATAATGCCCCTACTGTACCATGTTCTTCCACTCTCCAGTTTTTGAACCCCTCTATCCTTGATTGATAACTGTGATGCTTGATTCTTTTCTGAGCTAGTCAGATAACCTACTGGTTCTAACCTAGGCTTGTACATTTTCTAACCTGGTAGCAAAAACGAGTGGTGCTGAACATCGTGAAATCACTGGACAGTGTTGCCAGCACACTGTTGGCATTGCAGCCTGGCGATGCTGAATATCAGGCAACGTTTGGGACGGGAAACGTTGGGGTGACTCTGTCCAGATCGCCATCCAACAGAGACCTGCACATCAACAATGGTCGCACCACTGTGACTATTCCTCGCACATCAAGTGGAAGTCAGACTAACAGCATGTTGGATCTCAAGGTACTGCTTTTTACACTGTACACCAAGACCGCACCAATTTGATTCGTTGGTTCTCAAATTTTTTTAAGAAAAAATATAAACCAACAGGGCGCAAAAAAAACACAGATTTAGACATCTTCTGATAGCCCCAGAAGCTACAAGTTTGGAGTTAATTCAAAACCTGAATCTTTTGTTTCTAGCAAAAAACAAAAGTGGGCGAATTCCAGAACCAATTAATTGAATGGGTGTGGCCCAACTAGCATGTAATCTCAGGAATATGGAAACATATGAGGAAGAAGAATTTTCCATTCATTGTCACAAGCCAAATGAAGCTAGCATTGTTGTAATCAAGATATATGTAGTACATAAGAGATGGGAAAATGCTTGACCATGTGAATGCTGTTCAGCACCAAGGAGAGAGCAATTGTACATTACACCAAAAAAACAGTTACTAAAGCAACTGGATATAATTACATTGAATTGGTGTGGCCTAACTAGAATGTACTCTTTGTAATCAAGATACATACATGTAGGAGGTGGAAAAGTAGTTGACCATGTGAATGCTGTTCAGCACCAAGGACAGAGCAATTGTACATTACACCAAAAAACAGTTACTAAAGCAACTGGATATAATTACATTGAATTGGTGTGGCCTAACTAGAATGTACTCTTTGTAATCAAGATACATACATGTAGGAGGTGGAAAAGTAGTTGACCATGTGAATGCTGTTCAGCACCAAGGACAGAGCAATTGTACATTACACCAAAAAACAGTTACTCAAGCAACTGGATATGATTATGGAATCATTATGGTTCCAAAGTCGTATCCAGTTGCTTGAGTAACTGTTTTTTGGCATGTCTTATTTCCTTGATGTCTAACTTTTACAGACAAGAATATATTGTACATTAGTCAGACTCTGTAAAATTCTTTCATTCAATTTTTTTCAGATGTTGAGTTTCAAAAAGAATCCGTACTCCTGGAGACAATCGACAGGAGGACAAAACATCTCTTCACCCGTTACGGTTCTGTCAATGGATACAAGAGAATCCGGAAAAGGGCTGAAACGCAAAAGACGAGGAGAACCCAGAAGCCTTAAGGAAGAGAAGCAAGTCAACCTGGACATCCCGTTTGTACCCTTGCAAGAAAGAGAGCTGACAACTAACACACCACACGTGACCACCCGCACGCCAGGAGAGAAGAGTCCAAAAAGCAGGATCGACGGGACCAATGGGACAATGATGACGTACCACCGCTTCAGCGTCCCGGATGGAAACGTCATCCCTGTCCTACACATGAGCTGGTGGGACATAGATGCCACCTTTCACGTGTACTCTTTGTACGGGTCCAAACCTACCGTAGAAAAGTATGATGAGAGGAGAGTCATCCAGGCTAAAGACGAGCTAGAGACCTGGCTCACAGAGAAAGACATCACTGTCACATTTACACCCAACAACACACGCCGCGGTGGTGTTCTGTACATTGGCATACAGAAAATAGGTAAATAACTACTGTAACAATGATATCTTTCTTAATGTGTTGTATCTTTTATCTGTGGTTAATTTATTTTGGTTTGGTTTTCCTTCCAGGGCTTGAAATTCATTTTTGGGAATGCACCCAACCTGAAAAAGTGGGTGCACAAAAAATATTTTGGTGCACCATATATGAAACGAAATAAGTCAAAAATTATGTCTCATTTCTAAAGAAAAGAAAAGAAACAATAATGTTTTTATTTTTCTGGTATGTCGATGTTAAGAATATGCTGTATCAGTGGTCAAAATACTTTTTTTCAGTGCTCTGCAATATTGCAGAAGAGTCAAAATTTTGTTCTGCAATTTGGAAATACTTTCTGCAAGTACACAAGCCTCTATACTACAATCTTGCAAGTTTATGAGCATGAACTATTGATTGATATGCAAATTAGTGAAGACAAATTTTTGGAAGTCCAAAAGGAAACAAAAGATAGACAAGTCAAGACAAGGTTGATGTAAATTAATGAAGAAGCTCCTGTTGTTTCAGAACAGGAGCTTAAGTGTTGTATGTCCTTGGGGCCAAGAGCGCCAAATCCCAAGTGCCAATTTTTCCTGCTGCAAAATTGCAGATTGTATAAATTTTTCTTCTGCAATCTTGAAAATCTATCTGCAGATTGCAGACTGCAGACAGGTATTTCGAACACTGTGTATATACAGTAACTGTACATTTAACATCTTATCTGCATACGAAAAACTAGGAAAATATTTGGATGCATGCGCACTGGTGCAACCACAGATAAAAATTGGGTGCACAGCTCCAAATTTGGGTGCACTAAAGTGCACATGCACCCAGTATTTTGAGTCCTGCCTTCAATGCCCACGATCATGATAATGATAGTAGGTATTACTCATTTTCCCCTGAGTGAAATGAGGAAAGTGGCTAAAGTGCCTTTCCCAAGGGCACAATGTCAGTTACTTCGAACCCGAGACCTCATGGTTCTGAACCAAATGCTCTGTCCTGGTGCCACACAAACCCACAATTTTGCTGACAGGTGTACTTACAACAATTGCTCATGTGCTGTTCTCAGATCGTGCCGGTTCTTCACCTGAAAAACTAAACCAAGAGAGAACCCCCGACTACAGGCTGCAGATGTCAGCTGTTGGCTGTTCGTCTTGGGATGAAAATAAAGAACGATGGGGGCTGGACCTATGTGATGTAAGTCACCTCTAATTTACACAACCAGGCCTCAAAATTAACTTTTCTTCCTATTGCCCCAGCACTGTCCCAAAAATAAATTGCAATTGTCCCGAAGTGAGGATGAACTGTCCCAACCTGTTCTTTTTGGGGGAAGTATTGTATGACTTTTACTTGAAGTCATTCGACAACTTCATTTTGCTTATGTTCACTCCCAGGAGCACTATAATTGCAGAGTAGACAGGAAATTTGGGGGGCTTTTCCGGATCCAAAAGCCGGGATGTGTGCCTGATAAACAAAAGAAGGACTGACATTCTGATGCTGATTACTTTTTTATTGTCCCAAAATGTCCCAAAGTGTTTTTTTAATTGTCCTAGCCTAAATTGTAGTGGTCAGTGGCCATTGGGCCACCTTTAATTTTGAGTCCTGACAATATGCAAGCCAAATGAAGCTATTCACCTAGTGTTGTTGCACTCATATGGAGGAGGGGAGAAAATGCTTGATCATGTGAATGCCATTCAGCACCAAGGAGAAAACAACCATTATACTTTTTAAATTGTTAATTTTGATTTGTGTGTGTATTGTTGACTTTGTTTGTCTTTTTAAATACTAGTATGTTAACTGTACTTTTTCTGTGCCATATAATTATGTCATTTTAAATGTTTTCCCTCAGTTAAACTAAAAAATAAATGTTTTTTTTCCAAAATCTCTTAACATAAATCAGGCTAAACTCGACATAGAGAGCAACATCTTCCACTGTGAATGTCGCTCGACCGGGACAAGCATCGCAGCCGGCACCATGACCCTCCCCACCCCGAATTCCATCGACTTTCTCAACGCGTTCAAGAACTTCAGCAACCTTAGTGACAACGCCGTGGTGTTCTCCATCGTGGTGTCTGAGTTCATCCTGTACATCATAATCATTTTGCTTCTGCGTGCTGACTTCAGCCGGCTAAGGGTAAGTATGTACATGTGGTGTGTTTTGTGTGCTAGCTTCATGGATGGATGGATGGTTGGATGGATGGATGGTTGGATGGATGGATGGATGGATGGATGAAAGGGTGGATGGATGGATATTGGATGGATGGATGGAAGGATGGATGGATGGAAGGATGGATGGATCATGGATGGATGGATGGATGATGGATATTGGATGGATGGATGGATGGATGGATGGATGGATGGATGGATGGATGGATGGATGGATGGATGATGGGGGGACGGACGGTGGATGGATGGATGGATGGATGGATGGATGGACGGATGGATTGTTTTAGAAATCATGTTTGAATTCCATAGTGGCTATGGTTACTAGAGAGTAGCAGGTGGTTTTGACAGTAGATTTGATATATCATGGTTGTAGGTCATTTCCTTTTGTGCAGTGCTGCTAAATCTCTATTATCTAATTTTGATTGTTACATGTACCGGTACTAAGTATAAAATGTTATTAGTAGATTAGTGGGCTAGAATCTGTTACTAATAGATGTTTGCAGTAGCTCTATTTATGTACAAGTTGCCATACATTGTACCTGCTGCAATTATTGTGCGATAAAGAATTAATTTCTTATTCATCTAAGTATATTTTACATCTATTTATAGTATTCAACATTTTTGTTTACTTTAGGGTAAAAAAACCCAGAACCAAAGGAAGAAGAAGCTGTCCAAAGTGAGTCTGATCCCCCCAGACAGGATGCCCGCGCCTCACGTCTATCAGCTCACCGTCACCACCGGGGCCATGTTCGGGGCTGGGACCACCTCACGGGTCGCCTTCCAACTCTTCGGGTCAGAGGGCACGACCCCAGTCAAGATGCTGAACCCTGGGGGAGAGGTCAGGCTTGTTCTTATGTTCTTCTTGTATTTCTTATGCTGTTTGTGCACTAACTAAACAGTTTTCAATGATTATTTACCTGATTATTTACTAGTTTTTAAAAGAAATTTATATAAGAAAACATGTCATAACTGGAAAACTTGTGATAACTCCTTTTGGCATATTTAATATCATGAGACAGTATTGAAGTCTTGAATCCGTCTTCTATTTGCATCAGAGGAGTGATATCTTGAGGGACTGGAAATAGTGTAGAAAAATTTGGTGATTTTGTGACATTTTACCAGCACTATCATATGTAAAGTGTTTTTCATGGTTTGCAATAGTCAGTAGTATTTTGTTTTGAAATATTTTTAGATGAATCAGAATATATAGTTCCATGATAATTTAAAGTCTAATCATGTCAAACTTTATGAATGTAAAAGATGTAATAATTTAAAAATGGGTCCTAATTTTGTCATGGTTTACATACAGGCTTTGGTTCGTGGAAGTACTTTACATTTTATCATGCCTGTGCGAGAGTCACTTGGAGAAGTGATGTCGTTGCACATCTGGCATGATAACTCTGGGGAAGGTGGTGACACGTCAGCCTGGTTCCTTGGAAATTTTCTTGTCAGAGATGTAGAAAAGGACGTGGTGTAAGACCTTAAAGACATATCCCGCCTTCTTTTTGGCTGCTGTTCTGAACTCTTGAAAGTCTTTTGATTCAGTTCTCTTTCAATCTCATTACCTCAAGGCATGTTTTTGCTTAAAAGCATGCAAGAAATTCTGAGTGTGCAAACTTTTAAAATCATTTTCTGTCAGCGACATCACATTTTTGCCTCACAGATATCGGCATTTTCAGTGTGATACGATTGAATCAACTTACAACAAGAATGAGCAGTTTTGCTGCCCCAAAATTGCACTGAATGCCTTTAAGTTAACTACATGTAAACCAGTCTCATGATACCTTCTCAACATCACATGATTGCTTACAGCACGTACTTCTGCTGTAATGACTGGTTGTCAGAGAACAAAGGTGACGGAGAGGTTCAGAAGGTGGTTCACGCAACCCCCAAGGAGGAGCTGAGATCCTTCAGTAACGTCTTTACTGAAGCGACCAGTAACCTGTTCTACGATCAACAACTGTGGACGTCTGTCCTTGTAGCACCACCAGGTCTGTGTCTTTCTTTCTTGGCAACTTTTCATATTTTCTAGTACAGGTGGACAGTTAGATACTAGATACTGTTAGGACAGATAGACTGTTTAGATTTTTTCTTGATAGATGTTTACTTCAATGGGAAAAATTCAATACACCAGCAAAAAGTGGAAACAATTGCGTAGGGTCTGTAGTAGTCTGTTGAAACTAAAGAGTACTCAATATATAGTAGAAAGGATTCATTCTTCAAGCAAACCAACATCTCGCACATGTGCACGCAGTTGTCCCCAGTAAGGCATCTGGAGCTGCATAGTAGTTCCAGTTTAGAACTTTTATTCAGCCGGTCACACTTACTGAGGGATGACTGCGTGTGCGAGATGTTGGTCTAAGCTTGAGGAATGAATCCCCTCTACTATATAAAGAGTCCTCAATGTAAAGGGATAATTTTCCTTACTGAAGTTGTTTTGTTACAATGTTTTTTTGTTTGTTTCCTGAGTAGGTTCCAGCTTCACGAAGGCCCAGCGTCTGTCCTGCTGCTTCACTCTGCTGAACACCATGATGCTGGCCAGCGCCATGTGGTACCAGACAGATGACAGAACTGCTGACACACAAGTGTACAACCTGGGGATCGCTCGTTTCACAGTAGAGGTAACAAGAACTAGTTCTATATCATATTCTATAGTATCGTGAAAGTTCATCTGTGATGGAAGTTACAAGTTTAGAGTTAAAACTTCCACACCAAAAAAATTGTTCTCTCGTATAATGCTGGCAAGCCCCATGTGGTACGAGGCTGATGACACAACTGCCAACACAAAAGTGTACAACCTGGGGATCGCTCATTTCACAGTAGAGGTAACAAAAAATCAGAGATTTCATACTTCCTGGAAGTAGTTTGTGTTAATTAATTATATTATTGAATGCATAGTAATTGCTATTGTAACACTATACAAAAGATGATTCATACATGCCTGAAATTCACATTATTGAACCCAGGGCATACCAGGTAAAAAGCTTGTCTCCACCTCCAAGGCCATCTCCACCTATTTACATTGTATTGAATAATCATTTTGATACTTTGAAACCCAAACAAACCCTTGCATGGAATAGTGCCACCCAAAACAATACTTCTGTCCCAAGTAAGAACAGACATCAAAATCTCTGACTCTCACTGCGACAGTAACATTGGGCCCTTCTGCAGATTGAGATTAGGGCCGATATTCAGTCTAAAAAAATGAGCAGCCTCTTGACTTGAGCAGAGGGTATTGTCTAAGATTGAGCAGTCTCTAGGCTCAGACACCCACCGTAACAAGTGCAAATGATAAATTTATATTAAAATTTTTTTTATGCTTCTAGACAAACCCTGTATCACAAACATGATCTGTTCCCACATTTTCTATTGTAGAAAAATGCGAGAATGAGTTGACCTGACTCTGTATTAGCTCAGTAACTAGAACAATCTGTATTAGCCTAGTATAGTACCCTTGTATGTTCCTTAATAATGTACATGTACATGTATGTATGTCTTAAATTCAAGTGTATCTTTTGTCTCCACTTTTCTACATACATGTACGTCTGTAATGCGTATATTATTATTGACCTGTACCTAGCCCGTCGTGGCATGAATGTACAATAAAGGTATTTCATTCTATTAACTTTTCTTCTATTTCTACAGGAGCTGTACACCAGCCTGATGACAGCCTTGACTGTAGCACCTGTCAACCTGATGATCGTACAGCTCTTCCGCATGGCGGCACCACTGGCTGCTAACACTCCGGAGATGTCAATCACTACACAAGGTGGGAAAAACATTTCATCAGGCATGAAGCGGGAAACTAGCAACAAGCTTTAAGGTTCTTGATGTGATTCTGTTGAGGAGATGAAAGTGTGTTTAAGGCCACACCAATTCAATTTCTTGGTTAACAGATTTTTCTAGAAAAATAATGGAGCGGGCGGGCAAAAAAAAAAACAGGCCTAGGCATCCTATTATGGTCCAAAATGGTACGATAGGAGCCATGAAGTCAACACACCAGGTTGTTTCAAAATTTAAACAATGAATTTTGAACTTTTAATGATATCACTGCATTGAAAGAATGACTGTAACAACTAGGATGAAGAGGACCTTTTTCAACTGTTCAGGGCAAAATATGAGCATTTTGTAGTTGATTCTGAATTTTTATTTTTATTTGCAAATCAGAAAAAAATGAAGCGGGCAAATCCGTTAACCAAGAAATTAAATTGGTGTGGCCTAACCTAAAATGTCTTGATACATTTGTACATGAAAATTGCTTAATATTAAATATTGGCATTTATAGCAAATCCAATTGCCCACTCACTTTGGAACCAAAACATACTCCCTCTGACCAGCAACACCCAAATCAATACTCCCATTCCAGAAGCAATTAATAAATTATGATAAATTAAAGGCTAGGCCCATTTGCTCTTGGTACAAAAGCTGAGCGATGCCTAGACTCTACTAGGCTTCAAGAAGCAGGTGCACCAAACTGTACTCTCTAGTGGGCCGAATCCCCTGGCATGTTATCTCCCTATTTGTCCAATTTCACCTCTTTCCAACCGCTTCCCAAAACCTGGTAGAAGCTAAAGAAACGCCAGTCAGCTTTGAGGTCTGAACACTGAAGAGTTGTTTGCATCAAATTGGTCATTCATGACAAAGAAACGAGAAGAAGCTGAACCTCTGTTACAGAATTTAGTAGCTCTAAAGCTTATGTTGTTAGATTACTAGTATTAGTACACAACGTACAGTACAGCTTGCGTTAGAATTAACGGGTGACACGTAACTCACGCGGCACTCACGCGGTACGTACGCGGCATTTACGCGGTACTAACCCATCACAGTAACGCGTGAGTAACGCATTTAATGCGTCCGAGTTCTGCTGAAGCTTCTCGTTACTGCATGAGTCACCCGATATCGCCGCATTTTATAGTGTGTGATTTAATAGTGCCCCGCCCTGGCCCCGCCAACACGACGTGCCCGATCGGCTTTACCGGTGAGAAAGTCGGCGATATCTGCAGGAATTGGCTCCTTTTGATATGCAGCCGCCCGCTATATGATAATCTCTATTAAACGTCACCCCGCCTGCTGGTTTTCCGAAAAAATCAACGCATCTCCCTGAGGTCATTGACCCGCAAAAGCCAGGAGCAACGCACGCCGGCGGCACTTGGTATGATCAAGGACATTATACGAGATGTATTATGTCCTTGGTACATGTATGATGGTACATCCTACAGCAACACAGCAACCAAGCGACAAAACTGTGAAGGAACACCATGGTCCCAAAATTCTCCAAAAATATTCCAATATTACATGGCGATTATTTCCTGTTATTAAACACCCACGCTAATAAGACTGATTTTGGGCGGGTGGCAGACCGCCCCACTCGGGAACTGAAAACTTGTGAGGGAAATACTGTAGTCCTGTCTGTACTGTATACTGATACCTTTGCATTTGTTTACCTGTATATACCTAGCATGATAAGGCATGAATGTATAAAAGAGGTTATTTCTATTTAATTGTTGAATCCCAGGACGTGTGAAGAAACATCTGCACTGCTGGGCCAAGTACATGGCATGGGCGGTTGTGTTCCTGGTGTCCACCAGTTCTGCGTTCTTTGAAATTCTCAGAAAACTGAAAAGTTGTTTGCATCAAATCGCGCATTCATCACAAAGAAACGAGAAGAAGCCGAACCTCTGTTACAGTATTAGTAGCTCTAGAGCTATATACATGTAAATAAATGTTGTTCTGTATTGGATTTAGAGTTTATGTAATGTTAGATGAGTATTCAGTACATAGTCCTGTCTTTACTGTATACCTTTGCATCTGTTTACCTGTACTTAGCCCAATAGGGCATGAATGTACAGTAAGGGTAATCATGATTGTGTATTATGTGTATTATTACCATTTGTATCATCTGATTGTAAAACCTGCATCAATTCAGCACTATAAGGCTGCGATTGCACGGGTGATGTTTGGCCAATAAACCATTTATTATTATAAATTATTATAATAGTGCAGTCTGCACCAAGGAAAGGGATAGTTTTCTTAGTTCAGCACCAAGGACAGGGATAGGTTTGTTAGTTCAGCACCAAGGGCAGGGATAGGTTTGTTAGTTCAGCACCAAGGGCATGGATAGGTTTGTTAGTTCAGCACCAAGGACAGAGGGTTATCTGATTAATTGTTCATCTCCAGGACGTGCGAAGAAGCATCTGCACCACTGGGCCAAGTACATGGCATGGGCGGTTGTGTTCCTGGTGTCCACCAGTTCTGCGTTCTTCGTCCTCCTGTACAGTATGGACTGGGGGAAGGAGAAAAGTGATGCCTGGCTGAAGGCCTTCATTCTGTCCTTCCTGGGGTCCAGTGTGATGGACACTCTAAAGGTAATGATCATGGTTTTTGATAATTCTATGACCTGGGTGCCAGACTCCGGCAGGGCTGGCAGGGAGTTTGTTTGGCAGCTAAAGGTTGTTACAAGCAGCCAGCTACATGTAGACTAGATAAGGGCTCTAATTGGCAAGACAGAACGCTCACTGAGGACCAGATTTCTTGAGCACAAATGCCCCAGCTCGCTGTCATCTGAAGTTTCTCAACACATCCACATCGAATCACCGGGCCATACCGTCTCTCTGGACAAAGTGAAAATACTGGACACTGAACAGGACTACTTTTTAAGAGGCATTAATAAGGAGGCCATTATATATCAGAGCACTTCAGCCTTCACTATAGAGATGGTGGACGATATAATAATAATAATAAACTCCCTGGTACTTTTAATCAATTGCTTACATCACGTATCAGTAAAGTCTCGTGTGAATAAGGTCACGTGTTTGGAAACCGTAACTCTCACGAGATCATGTTGTGAAGTGATTGGTCATTAATTATCCTGATGAAGGCGACAGTGGTCGCTGACAATTTGATCTCTCTGTAAACTGTAAACTGGAATAAACTGGAAGTTCAATGTTTTATTATCATAATCACTACCAAACACAGATGAACTTTCATGATAAGGGCTCTAAGTGTAGCCCTCCAAGGACTGATTAAGCCGAGGAGAACGTATCTATCTTGGCCAGCTTAAGTATAAATAATCAATTATATTGATAGACTGACTGACAGTAGGTGAAGTAGTAATAGTATATGTACATAAATGTATATAAAGATATAGAGAAATAAATATATTATATATAAACATACATACATATAAATATATATATACTAACATACATACATACATAAACACAAATATACACATATATATATACACATATACACATATATATATATACATATA